CAGCTCAAAACATGCATATGTAAATATGCTTGAATTCCACCTGCTAATCTGCATTTATACTTGCTCTAACCGAAGCACATGAAAACACTGGGGAAAAATCGACTAAGTTTTAAAAAAAGGTTTGTTTTGACAAATTTAAGCCCTTCTTTTAATTCACCCAATGGGATTTATTATATTTTAACTTTCTGCTGCTTTAGCGAGGCTAAAGACGCCGCTCCAGAAACAGGAAGTGGACTACAACGCAGGGCATTTTGGGTAAATTCAACCAAAGCGAACATGTTAGCCTAATGCTAGCGAGAGAAATGACTCGTGTTTTTTCTAGACAAAAGAGAAACGGTTAAAATCTGATGCTACTCCACTGTTAACAAGGAAAATGCCCTCATCATCTTCTTCAGAGGTTTTCATGTCTTCTCTTTTCGAGGTTCTTGTTGCAGCGCCCCCACAGGCGAGGAGGGGAACAGATTTTTCAAATTGGTTTGATACTGCAGTGTGAAAGAGCAGCTGAAAATGTAGCAGATTTAACTGAGTTTACCAGATTATCAGGTGGGAAAACACCTGAAAACAGTTATTAAAATATGTCTTCTAAACAGTTAATTTAGATCCTTAGTTCCATAATTATTTAATGAAAAAAGAGGAAACTATTTTTTTTATTTTATTTTACTCTATACCCGTTTAATGCTTTTTATCTCGCATTGGTTAACTTAAAATGTATTTAAGCAAACTTTCCTCTCTTCAAAGACTCCAACATGCAGCTGAATTTTCTGATTTAGACACATTTCAGAGAACCTGAAGTCTTGCATGAACGCAACCTGTTCACATCCATGTGCAGCTTCCTCATCTGCCTCAACGTTTTGAAGAATTACTCATAATCACAGCAGCAACGAGCGCCTCGGCACTTAGGCTGGGAACATCAGAATACACTCGCTGACTGTTGTTTTTGCTCTGAAATTTATTTTCTCTTCTCTGCACCTCGACACAACACACCGTCTTCTGTCTCAAGTGGAAAATTTGTTTTCTGCTCTTTGTGTCACTTGAGGTAGTTATGTGTCTCCTTCTAGGCGCAGTGAACGCACAGGAGCTCATTTATGCAGAAAAGCAGCTCTGGAGGAAACATGTAAGTCCATTAAAAACATTTTTCTTTTTCTTTCTTTTTTTTTTTTTTGCTTTCACAGTTTCTTTGCTAAAACATTTTCCCAACAATTACAGGACATCCTAACTGTGCATTCATGAGTTGTGATGTTTTATGTTCCTGAATTATATAACAACATCCATACTTTTTATTTCATTTCATGTTACACAATTATACAACCTTACATCTTTGAAAAGCAGAAGTGGAGCCTCCTGCACAACCAACAAGAATGCAGCAGGTGGTTTCTGGGTGGTAAGTCGATAACGCCTTTGAAGGTAATCTATCATGCTTCCTTGAACAAGTTAGGAAAGGTCTAAACAAAACATGTTTTTCCACTTTAATTCTGACTAATGCTGCATTAGTCAGAATTAGGTACTGTCACTGTGAAACCAAATTATCTGCTTCTAACTCAAGGTTTACAGTTCCATGTGAAAATGGCTACAAACAGATACAAGCATATATCTTTGAAAAGCAGGAGTGGAGCCTCCTGCATAACTAACAAGAATGCAGCAAGTGGTTTCTGGATGGTACGTAACATATGGATCTCTGCTGGGGCTGCTAGGTAACCCCAGCAATAGAGAGGCTTTGTGAAATGGGTCGTTTTCCAGACACCAAAAAACATGATTATTGCCAAAAAAGCAATAAGTTATTGCCAAAAAAGAGCTGGAGTTTTTTTTTTTTAAAGTGCTGCACTGTTTTTAGACGTCAATTATACTCAAACGGAAGAACAAAAACATAGAAAATTGTAAATTAAGCATAATAAATCTCGTTTAACATTTCTTTTCACAGAGTAACTGAAGTAACTGGATGCTGGTTTTGTTCATTTAAGGTTCTGAAGAGAAGATGGCGGATATGTGACGGCTTTTTTTTTTGTCATAAATTCAAAGCAATCTTGATGCTTAAAAAGAAAAATGTAGCCGGTGCTGCTGGTTTGTTAATCTACCCAGACAGCAGCTTGGCAGAGCTGCAGAGTCCACCATGCTTCACTGTGTGTTGGGTCCAGCCTGTCCACTGCTTTCCCACACATTTCTCCGTCTCTTTCACACTCCACACATTTCTTTTCTCCTTCTGTTGCCCTGAAGGCTTCGGGGCATTACAAAGCCAGGCAGTGAACTCAGATCTGGCTTTCATGAGTTCTGTCACACAGAACCAGAACTTTGTTAAAAGACTTGAGCAAGTTTTTGTCTCCTCACAACATCAGGAAAATTCTCAGAAAGTTTTAGACCTGATGTGTAAATCACCAGAATTATGGAGCAAATATGAAGGAAGGAGAGTCGTTTAAATTAAAATGACAAGAATAAAGTCGTAATATTACAAGAACAAAACTCACATGAGAATAAACTCAAAATAATGAGTCTTTATATATGAGAATGAAGTCATATTTTTAGAATAGTCATATGAAAATAGTCGTAATGAAACAAGAATAATTCAAAATTAAAAGAAAAAAGTCATAATATCACAAAAATATCCAGTTGTGATATGAAAACAGTCATAATATTCACATAATAAATTCACAATATTATGAGAATAAAATTGTAATGATAACAGAATAAAATCATAAAAGTCAAAGAATAAAGTCATAATGTTATGAAATTAACCTGAGAATAAAGTCTAAATAAGAACAAAGTCATAAAAAACTTTAGTCAGAATATTCTGATAATAAAGATATAATAACACAAAATAATGTAGAAATTCAGAGAATAAAGTCACAAAATTACAAGAATAATACGAGCATATAAGCCATAATATTACAACAATGAAGTTTATTGATATTATTGATAACGTTTATTATGACCTGATTCTCATACGACGTTTGTAATTTTTCTGAATTTTTAAATTTAGCGTAATTCGCCGCAGATCGTTGAGAGACAAAGATGGAGGTTTGACAGGCGATTTCTTGTCATTCAAATGAAGTGTTTATAAAAACCTGAGGCAGAGTGTCAGGGAGAAAATCATCCGTTTTCTGAGGACTGAAGGGCAAAACCAGCAGAAGCCACAGAATATAGATGCTGTTTGAAGTGACTGGAAGTGAATTGTAATGGGATCCTGCTGCCTGCGGCACGTCACAGGAAAACTAACAAGCTTTGTCCAAATCTGTGGATCTTTTTCACAGCATAGATTTAAATAAGAGTTTTTTGCATTTAAGCATAAATATTTTAGTGCAACATGAATACCTGACAGGTTCACAGGGGCGGCGCTGCAGGGGGACAACGAACAAAGGCTGCAGGGAATATATTACCACTAAATACACTAAATAACCAATTCAACTTCTTTCTAAACTATTCATATAGTTCCTTATTTAAACATGATGCACTTTCTTCTGACTGTAAATGCTATGAATAAGCGCTCTACACTGGAAAGCCCTCCTGAATATTTAATGAGATAAAAAATATGAATTTGTTGAAGGACATGAAGGACAATCCTCTTGTTTGTGAAGTAAATCCTGAAGCAGTTCATCTCCAGGGAGAAGGGAGACGAGCCGTGCGCTGCAAAATTCAAAACCTTTCTTCAAAATTAAAGATGTTTTAATGTTTCCGATTACCTCTGCAGAAGAAAGTCAGTTAATTCGACTTAAACAGCTCTTCACTTACACGGAATAAATAAAAACTGATTTTTTAGTTTAGTTAGAATCAAAATTATTTCTATTTGCTAAATGCAAGAAATTACTTGTGAAGTACTGTTCATAACTTCTGTTTTCAAACTTGAAAAGTTGAATTTATTCCTGAAGTTTGGCTTTGGAAAGAGAAGAAACAACATGTGGGCAGCGTTCTCCAAGGTTTGAGTATCCTCATACTGTAACTGACCTTCAGCCTATCAGAAAATGTTTCTGCACTTCAATTCCCTTTGATGGACGATTAGTAATTTGGGACGAATCCTTCCCCCCAGCAAACTGTGTGGGCTTTGACTCCTTAACCTTTAAGACTCATCCATCAACCGCAGGATCTGGATAACGTCACATAAAAACTGGAGCTGGACAACGAGAATCTGCCTGTTTTGGCAAACACCTCAAGAGACGAGGTGAGGTGAAGTGCAAAACAATAGAGATTACACTGACAGGGTGCTGCAGGAGCTCTGACGTTTAGCCGTAAGGCAGAATATTTTGTATTCTTGCTCATCACTGATGTCCCTTTTGGTCAGAAAACAAGGTTTCCATAGTAATGCTACCCAAGACACATTTTCAACTTTATATGGTAAAAAAGAAACAGGAGAGGAAAAGAAATCCAATCCTCTGCTGCCCTCTAGGGTTGTAATGGTAGAAATATAAGCATACATGAATTAAATATATTAAAAAGTATCAGGTAAGATTAATTATGTGTTGTATAGGTCACAACATTTAAACAAAAACATATTTGCTGCCATTATGCCGTTGAAACCATAGATTTACATTCACCAAAGTAAAACACACAGATTACTGTAATTTTAATTCATACGTTCAACTTAATTTAGGTTTGTATAATGCAATCAGATTAAATGAGTTCCATTCTGACAAACTGATTTTTATGGACAGCAAATACTATAAATTTGAAAACATTTGCTCTTTATTTCCCAAAGATTTCATGGGGAACAGATTATTTCATACAATTAAAATATTTGGTTCCAATCTGGTCTCTAACTTTGGCAACAAAAAAAGAGAGCAAATGTTAACAAATGGATTTGTGTTCCATGATGAAAGGATTAAACAGAACAGAATTTCATGCAAGAGCGGCTCCATTTCAGGCTGCACTAAATGGATGTTTTCCCCTTTCAATATGGCGGAGTGGCTGACGTCTGAGTGCAACGTGCAGCTTGTCATACATCGGCAACGAAGTTCTGATTTCGTCATCGTTCGCGTCGTTGAATCTGATTGGTCCGTTGGTGTTCCAGCGTTCCAGATTCCGAGTGGAAACACGGACTCGCTGTTTTTACCCGCTATCCAGCGAACATCGCATCCTCTCGTTGTTACAGCGGCTGTTTAATTCACTAATCTGATGCAGCTAACGTCGTTGTAATCGTAAACGCTCGGAGCGACATAAACTCCGTCTTTTTCAGGTAATTTCTACGGGTTTTGTCCTGAAATGACTTGCTAGGTACCTGGCTAACACGAGTTTACATTAGCTCCTCCTTTTAGCGCTAACGCTCCGTAATTTACTACTTATTTGTTATTTAAGTACCTTTAAGAGGCCTTTCTGTGACATTTTTAATTATTGTCACAATTATTGGTCAGATTTAAACATTGTATGGAATTCATATCCAGGTTAAATCTGGTCTCAGTTTTGAGTGAAAATATTTAAAATATCATTTAATTCATATAAAAGTATAAAAATCAGTCTCTACCTAAATTTCTATCTCAACAAATGTTGTTTTATCCCATAACACTAGATAAAATAAACTATGCATGTTTTTCTAGAGAAGATTTTCATATCAATGTAAAACTGGACAGACGGCAGGGCCGGTCCAACAGTTATTGAGTCCCGGAGCAGAAAGGGGAGAAGATCCCCCTTTTTGGTTCCTACTGGTGAATCCACATGTTGCATTATTAAAAAGTCTCCATGTTTTCTATTAAAATTGCTAATCTGTCATTAACTGGAGTATAAGACATAAAAATGTTTTGCTAAGCCAAAAGTGCATATAATATATATACATTTTGAATTTAAGATGAAAACACATTTATGCTTTTTAACTCTTTATTTCACACAAAGGAAGCCCATGTTATTGCATATTGCAAGAAAAAAAATTTATTTAAGAAATTTTAATTTTTCATCTTGTGCCTTTTAATGTATTTTTAATTTTGCATAAGAGTGGCTACAGTAGTTAATTGTGTCAAATATTTTTATCTGATTAATCGATTATTAATATTATAGATGTAGTTTGTAAACACAGATAAAAACACTTTGAGAATATTTGCTGAATTTAGTTTTTGTCCCCAGTCATGTCTTTCCAGCCGGACCGTGGGGGTCCAAGGGGACAGATGCCCCCCGGCCAGAACTACCTGAGCTCTCCCCCTCCCCAGCCTCCTGCTCCACCCTACCGTTACGACCCACAGACAGGTTCGGGTTACCATGGCAGCGCCGGCTACATGCCCCCGCACCCTGACTTCATGCAGTACCCTCCCCCGGCTCCGTCACAGCAGAACCCTGGCGCTCTGAGTCAGTGCCCGCTGCGCCCACCTTTCCCCAAACCCCCTCCCAATTTCCCGCCTCCCACTTTGCCCAGCTCAGCAGGGGGTCCGACTCCCGGCTCCCAGGTGTCTGCTCAGACCTCCTACCCCCCCTACATGATGCCTCCGCCCCCACTGACTCACCCAACCATGCCTCCGCCCATGAGCTACCACCCCCCGTACACCATGAACTACCCTCCTTTCCCTCCTCCGCCTTTCAACCCCGGCTACACCCAGACCGCCGGCCCCTTCCAGCCGGACCACGGCGTGCGACATGGGGGGCCGTACCCGTACGAGAAGTCCGCCGACAGCCGGAGGTCGCCGGAAAGAGGGTATCGCCATGACGACCACAGGCAGAAGAGCTATGGCTACGGCGAGCGGCACAAAATGGAGTTCAGCGGAGAGAGGAAGGAGCGCGGCAGGAGTCCGGACCGGCGTGGGAGGGCGGAGGGGGTGCGCTACAAAGCTGACTACGACAGAGGGAGGAGTCCGCCGCGACACCGGAGCCGGGAGAGGAGCAGGTAGGGGTCAAACTGATGGCCCGGGGGCCAAAACCGGCACACTTCTGCTTTTTATATGGCCCTCCATCACTCAGTTTAATTTATATTTTAACAACAAGGCAGTTCAAGTGCTTTACATAAAATAAATAAACAAATGAGTATTGATTAATCAATGAAAACCTATTCAGTACTAAGGATCTCCCTCCCGTTTGCTTCCTCACAGGGAGCGGTACCGTCACCGAGATGTTCGCCGATCCCAGTCACCCGATCGCTACAGGAAGAGACCGCGCAGGTAAGACTTTCAGGTTCACACACTCATAATATTTCAAAGAGTAAAATGATACGGTTATGATAAAAGTACAGCCTCTCAAACTTTAATTTCCTCTTGGAACACGACAAAAAACACAAAACTATTTGTGTCTAGTTTCTAGTGCAAAAGTCTTAGTTCACCTGAAACTTTTCAGCAAGAAATCAGAGCTTTTTTTAGGTCAATAATTCTTTGACTCATTTATATGAATTAAAAAGTTCTACTTATAAGTGTAACAATGAGACATTTGTCCCATTTTATAACTTGGTACGATTTTGTGTTTACAGTGGATTAATTGGAATTTATTGTGACAGTGATAAATCAAAATGTTATCTGGAAAACATATTTTCCATGACAAATTATGACCAATAAAGTGATCTTTTTCAGAGTTTTAACCACTTTTAGAAGACAGAAATCTGTTTTTGTTTTGTGTAGTCGCTCAACGAGCCGAGACAGGAAGCGAGGGCGCTGGGAGGAGGAGAAGGAGCGGCGGTCCGACAGCTCGTCGGGGCCGAGCCGGGAGCGGAGCTACTCGTCCCTCCGGAGCCGGGACTCCGACGAGGCGTTCGCCGAGCGGGAGCGCGATCGACAGCGGGACAGAGAGAAGGAGAAGAACGACGAGGAGAAGGAGGAGGAAGAGCTGCTGAAACCCGCCTGGATCCGCTGCACTCATGCCGAGAGCTTCTACTCCAACGACCCCATGGACCAAGTGGTACGTTCTGCTCTGCACGCTCTGGTTCAGGGGTCAAACCCGGAACAGTTGTGTGCTTAAATATTATCAATCAAATCAAGTTACATCAATCAGTTCCTCCAGTTGTTTTTTTGCAATTTTACAATAAATTTAAATTTTCACACTGCAAAAACACAAAGTCTCACAATTTTATATCTTATTACACCTGAAATAAGACAAAACTAACTTACAAGTAACTTTTCAGGAAGAAATATGAACATGTTTATTTAAATAATTCCTTAATATTGATTTTAAAAAATTCTATTTCCATTGGCAGAATATTTTTTTTACATTTTTTTCTTTTTATAAGTAAGATAATCTGCCAGGGAATCCAGAACTTTGTCACCCTGATTAATTCCTCCAGGATTTCATGATTGTTTTTGATTTTTTAAAATCTTTTTTGCAATTAAAATCACACTTTTAGAAATGTTTACAAGAAACGTTGGAATATTTGCACTTAAGTATGATGTCAAATGAGACTTTCTGTCATTCTCCACGTCTATAAAGGATAACTTGACATCAACTAAAGCTGAAGCAGCAGTTTCGTAGAATTAAGAAACACTGCCACCTAGAGGTGGAAGTTAGCATCACTAAACCATTTCTTTGTCATATACAAGCAAAAATATTTAAAAAAATGTCTTGCAAATATTTCTAAATTATTGATTTAGACTGAAAATAAAATCACAAAAACAATCAGTGTGAAAAGATAATTTAACTTTAAGAACTTACTGAAGACAGAGTCAGGTATTTATTAATATTTTAACTGTTTTTAAATGGATTCTGTTATGCATTGTGGAGCATTCACGGTCCTGATGTGGCTGAAAGTGAGAGAGTTTTAGGCCGTGCTGCAGATCGTCAGGCGACGCCTCAGATCACCTCCCGCACGCTAAAAGCCTTCCTGATCCCAGCTCTGTGTTTTTCTCCAACGCTCTGACCTTTACCAGGAGTCTGTGAAGCTGCAGCAAGAACGCTGGCTGCTCTTCCAGGAACGTCAAAGTGACTGTAAATGTCGGAGTAAACCGATTTATCACGACTGTCTGTGCTTTTTCTGCCGGGACAGTGAGGATGTTATCACTGAGTGAAAAACAGAGGACGCAGAGTGACTTTGGCGCTCAGATCAAAGGTTAAATGGAGCCTCTTTATGGGAATGAAAGCTTCATAATTTAATGTGCTTCTCGTTCCGGGACAAAATGAAGTTTTCACGGTTTTCAAAATGAGATTTCAGGAGAGTATTTCAGGTTGCATTCTTCAAGCACTCAGTTTGTCTTGATGATCTTTGTTATTTGATCGGCCCACAGCGCGACTTTCAGTCTCTAGAAACCTAATATCTAATAAAGCGACCACATCCAGCCACTCAGACAGCCAGCCTGGTCGCTTCATACTCTGACATTCCTGTAAATGTCACGGAAAGTTGCTTTAAAGTGTTTTTTGTGTGTAACAATAATTTCTCAGCAATCGTTTGAGGCAGAAATCACATTAAAATCACTTCAGTCCTCTCTAACTGCTGCATGGACTTTAGAAATCGTTAGCATGTTTCTATCAGACGATTATTTTAGTCAGACACCACAGGAAAAAAATCCTTCTTTTAGAGTGATTGCTTCTTCCTCAGTGAGTGGCATTTCAGCCGTATTGTGGCATATTTGTGATTTACGCCTCATGTTTTTAAGCTGCTACACAGAGACCCGTCTCCGTTCTGTTTCAGGGCGACTCCACGGTCGTGGGAACCAGCAAACTGCGCGACCTTTACGAACGCTTCGAGGACGAACTCATAAAGAGGCAGGAACGAGCCAAAGCCGCTCGACCCAAATGGGAGCCGCCTAAAACCAAACTGGACGAGGATCCAGGTATGTTGTCCAAATCTTTACTGGTTCTTACTGTATGAAAAGATAAATCAATGTAACTTTAGTGGAGTTTTCTGACGCCTTAAATAGACCCTTTAATCCCAGTTATGAAGGGACGAATGTGACATAAAATACAACAAAATGACAACTTAGGTGTGTTTATTTGTAACTTTTATTTTTTTAAAATTTTGTATGAAGATTTAATCCTGACATGTTAACTGTTTACGTTTATTTCTGTGAAATAACATTTTAAAAAATAAACTACTATTGTGTCAAACTTTAAAAGTGATGAAAATGCCAGTTAATTATCTGTTTGGAAACTAAAATAAATCATTTAAAAATCACAGTAGAGATATTCTGACTCAGATTTATTCATTTAAAACACTGAAAGTGGATATTCACCATAAATATGCCAGATTTTAGCTCCAGGCGAGTTTCTGTCTGCAGACATTGAACAAGATTAATGAATATATGTCATTAATTCTTTAACTTATGCTACTTCCACTTCTTCTGTTAGTATTTTTACCTTTTCTGTTGCTACTTCTCCTTTTTCTCTTTATTCTCTGTCAGCTTCTACTTCTATTTCATTTTCTTCCACATCTTATGCTAATTTTATGTCATCCCCTACTTTTATTTTTTCTCTCACTTCTTCTTCTACTTTTACTTTTCTACTTCTGCCGTGATTTTAAGACAATAAATTAAAATGTCTATTTTTTATGTTGAAATATTTTCAGTATCTTTAAGAAAATACATGCAATTTACAGAAAAAGTATAACATTTATAATTAAAAGCATAATCTGGCCGAATTTCCTGCAAGGGCATAAACACAAGTAAAGTGCTTTGAAAAAATATCCTCCGAAAACCTTTTCAGAAGAACCAGGAGGTTTAGTTCGGATCAGTTTAAGACGTTTGCTCAGATATTTTGCTGCAACTCCCAGCCAGCGTTGGGTCCTTAAGGCTTTAATGGGGGCGTCCATCTTTTTCTTCTTCTGTGTAACTTTTTGCTACCAGAAACCATGTGCATTAGCCCTAATTTGTTTACGATGCTATCTGCATCTCTCCGTCTGTTTTTGCTCCTATGAATCCCTCTTGTTCGATTTCATTTTGTAAATAAGTGGCTCTGGCCACATGATGAAGTATTGGAGTTAAAAAGCTGATAAGAGCCGAAGAAGCAGTTTAGCTCAGAGCTACGAAACGTCTAAACTATCGTTTTAATCCTGCAGTTTGTTTTTTGTGAATGGAGAGGCGATGAAGGAAGTGAGGGATCCGAGCTCAGAGAGGAAACCGGACCTGCTGGGTCCATTAACCACTCTTTACGTCTTCCTTCCTTCTTTCCTTCCTTCCTTTCTTTGTCTCCTTCTGTCCTTTCTTGCTTCTGACCTTCTTTCCTTCTGTGGCTTCCTTCCTCTGTCCTTCCTTCCTTGCTTCTATCCTTTCATTTCTTTGCTTCTTTTTGACTTTCAGTCTCCTTTCCCTCCTTTCTTCCTTTCTTATATTGCTTCCTTTCCTCCTTCCCTCCTTTCTTTTTTCTTTCTTTCATGCATTAATTAATCTTTCTTTCCTTCTCTCTTCTTTATTCATTCTTCCTTCCTCCCAACCTTCCTTTATCAATTCATGCACCCTTTCTTCTTTCATTGGTTCCTTAATTCTTCTGCTATTCATTTCTTCCTTCATGTCCTTCTTCCTCTGATTCCTTCCTTCCTCTATTCTTTCCTTCTCTCTTGACCATGCATGAATCCATAAATTCTTTCTTGTTTTTTTTTTCCTTTCCTCCTTTCCTTCCTTCCTTGAACCGTCTGTATAATAATTTATTTGATGCCAGTCATTAATGAAGAGTCGGATGGAAATGAGGGCCGACCTCACAGTGAAAACTAAACCTTCTGGTTCCTTTATATTTACACGGTGACTCCTCTGATGTCGGTGACCTTTCAGTGACCTTTCAGAGACCTTTCAGAGCCTTTACCTTTTCGTTGCAGACGACAGCAGCAGCGAGTCGGACTGCGAGTCGGACGGCGACGGCAGCAGCTGCTCCAGCAGCTCCGACTCCGATGTTTTCGACGTCATCGCCGAGATCAAGAGGAAGAAGGCGCATCCGGACCGTCTGCATGAGGAGCTGTGGTACAACGACCCGGGCCAGGTGAGACGAAACCAGTTAGTGCCCAGTTCAGACCAGTGAGGGTTCTGGTGGAGGAGCAGCTGGTCAGGGGGCCGGCAGGAAAACCACAGAGGAAGTTTCTTTCTTCCTTCTTCCGTGTTTTCCTTTTCTTTCTATCTCTTACCTTCATATTTCTTCTTCTCTCTTTTCTTTCCTTCTTTTGTTCTTTGATCCTTCCTTCCCTCCTTCCTTCCTTCCTTCCTTCCTTCCTTCCTATCTTTTTCTTTCTCTCTTCCTTTCTTCCATTTCTCCCTCTTCTGTTCTCTTTTTCCTTTCTCTATTTCTTCTTTCGCTCCTCTTTTCTTCCTTCGTTCCCTATCCTCTCTTTTATTACTAATTCTCCATATTGAAAGTTTCACCACTTCTATCAATCTATAAATTTACATCTAGAATATATAAATGTACAGATGTAAAGATCCAGATTTCACTCCATTCCTCTATCGGGACCGTAATCTTTCAGTGGGAGTAAATCCCTGCAGATTAACTATCCCCTCCTGCCATGTTTCTGTGACGCCATCTTGATTTCTTCCTGAACCTGCGAAAACCTGGGAGCTAAAGGTCGGCAGCCTGCAGCGTTTCCGCCGGTTCTACCTGGCGCCATCATGGATCACTCTCTTCCTCTCTCTCTCTGTCCAGATGAATGATGGCCCCCTGTGCAAGTGCAGCGCCAAGGCCAGACGAACGGGGATCCGCCACAGCATCTACCCCGGAGAGGAGGTTGGTCGCGCTGTGAATAAATCACCCATCGTGACCTTGACGCTGCGCCACAGCACGGCCAAGGGCACCATCTCACTCATTCCCACACAAAGGCCATTCTCCCACGGACTACAATAAACGTGACTCCATCGCCTGTATAAGAAGATTAAAAAATAGACTCGGGTCCTTGTGACTCACTGATTATGTTTTTATGAGAAGCTTTAGCTTCTGTCAGCCTCTTCGGTGGAAGAATAAAACACATTTTAGCCTTGAGATCAGACCTTCATGCAGCATGAATTGATAAAAATTATGCATTGATTAATAAATCCTCCAACCTACAGGAGGTATTTTGGAGTTTGGTCAATTTGCACATCAGTTTTGAGAAGATTTGTTGCATATTTGCTACTTCACATGAGATTTCCAATCCACACGGATATAAAAAGTTGGTTCTCTGCTGTGAAAATGCAAAGTTGTTTAAAAAGTATTCTAGTTTTATTTTTACACATCTTAAAGAATTCAGGTGAAAGACAAGCAAGCTTGATTAAAATAAAGTCAACCTTTTGGCTGACTGAAATGATTAATCGATTATTCAAAGAATTATCAACTATTTATCAATTAGTCATTGACTGGAGTAGTGACTTAAAATAAGGCAATTTGCTGAAAAACAACACATTCAGATCAGATATTAGACCAAAACTGTAACAAGATATACATTTTGCATTAAAAACAGACCTTCACTCTGTAGCTAAAACTAAGATTTGCTACGTGAGATGAGATTTTTAGTTCAGTTCTTTACCAAGTTTTTCTAATGTAACGAAATCATCAATCATTTAGGAACTTAATTCAGTTGCATTGAGGCTCATCCTGTTCAATTCAACTGGAAAACAAACATTTTTGAGGTAAAAATCCTGTTTGAAGAAACGATTAATCGATTCTTCAAATAATTATAAACTCATAAAGTAACTAGAGGCAAAAACAAACATTTGCCAAAAGAAAACAGAAAACATATTCAGACGAGTAATTCAGCCAAAATATAAAAATATATTTTACATTTAAGATAAAATAAAAACTGTCTGTAAATATACAGATTAATTGAAAAGCTTAGTCGTCAATTAATTGTTTACTGAAATAGCAGTTTTATCTGAGATGTATTTATTTCCTGGTTGTAATTTTTGTTCAGCCTTTGAAGCAATGCCGCCCCATGAACAACAACGCCGGGAAACTGTTCCACTACAGGATCACGGTGTCTCCGCCCACCAACTTCCTGGTATGATGTCATCATTCCTCCCTTACAGCAGCTCAGATGTTTCACGCCACCGTTTTCATCCCCTTCTTTTCCAGACCGACCGGCCGACAGTGATCGAGTACGACGACCACGAGTATCTGTTCGAAGGATTCTCTCTGTTCTCCCACACTCCTCTCACCAACGTAAGTCTGAGGAAACGATTAATCGATTAACGTGTCGGTCAGACATGTTTACTGACCAGAAGGAGTTGATAGTTTAAAGCTATAACTCCTAATTCTTCCAGCTTTTATGAATTCATTTCATTACAAATTGTAAGTTTGTGGGTTTGCAGCATCTAAGCACTGCAAAAAGTACAAAATCTTACCAAGTATTTTTTCTAGTTTCTAGTGAAAATATCTTAGTTCACCTAAAATAAGAAAAAACAAACTTTTCATTAAATAGGAGCTTGTTTTCATTCCTAGCAGACATTTTATTTATTATCAGTCAGTTTATTGGTGTAAAATAAAACAGACAGTATTACTGGAAATAAACATGAATCAATTTATAAATGTGATTAAATGCAGTTTAGTGACGCATGTCATTATTTTTTTAAAATACGCGGCATCCTTAAAAAACTTATTTTAAATGGGAATAATTTTCAAGAATGGTATTTTGATCTGAGTTTTTATAAAACAATGAAACATTTGTGTGAGTGAAAGGCCAAGAGGTGTCTATGTCAAACATAATGGATATTTGCTATTGGCTCAAACCATTTTAATCAGGAGGAAAGCAGCTGATTTTTACTCTTCGCTCTCACCGCCGCGCTCCTTTGACCCTCCTCCAGTTAACGCGCTGAGCGAAGCCGTCCTCAGCTTTCAGCTCCAGTTTCCTCAAACGTTACTTCAAAAATCAGCTTCTGGCTGCGGGTCGGCTCCTTTATAGCCGGGCTGACCTCGCCGCCGAGTCGCCGCCGCCGCGCCGTTTGAAGGCCCGTCAGTGGCTGTCGGCCATTAAAGAGGAACGACTCGATCTGCAGCCGTTTGAGCTCAGCCTGGTTTCCGTCTCTTTCCAGAAAACTTAAACTCTGATTTATGGCCACAGACCTACAAAGTTTTTTACATACTGCCAGTATTTTTGTCTAGTAACTTTTCACCAAGATCCAGGAATTTGTTTTAAGTAGATAATTCCTTAATATTGATGAAAATGTTCCAGTTCCACAGGTGGATTATAAGATATCTTCCCCATGTTTTAAATGAGTCATATTGCTTTTCAGGGATGTAACTAATTATTAATTAGTTTAGTAATTGATTAATTAGTTAATCCCATTAAAAATTTGACAAATTTTTCATTTAACGACTTCAGCCTTTTTTTTTTTGTTTTACAATATTAGATTAAAAGATGCAAATGATTCAGTTTCTTTTTTAAAAAACAGCTTTTTTTGTTTTAGTTTAAATGTAAAATATATTTACAGTCCTAAATGCAAAATGCACATTTATTTTGCACAGTTTCGTCTTAATCGCTGCACTGAGTGCGTCGTTCTTTCTGGAAATTACCTTTTGTAGAATCTGTTTTTCTCCTGTTAACAATTAATCGATTGCTAAGCAAACTCATTATTTCAGTACTTGATTAATCACAATTAATCTGATTAAACATTTCAGCTCTAGTACTTTTTCATCAATATTAAGAAATTAGTGACTTAAAACAAGCTCCTGTAATTTCCTGGAAAGTTACTTACAAGCTGGTTTTGTCCTACTTCAAGTTTAAAAACCGCCGTGTTTTGTGTTTTTGCAGTGTATCCCACATGTTTGGCTAATGTGATCAATAGCATGAAAGGCCCTGGAGGACGCGGACCGATCTGAGGCGGATAATTTGAGCGGGCCTCGTTAAAAGCCGGAGCGAGGCGGATTAGGAAAGCTAAAAGCGCAGCGATATTAGCTCGCCGCTAGTTAGCCGCTGGGACGGGCAGGACTGAGCGCTGCTCCCAGGTTAATCTCTTAAAACGAACCCCTGCGCTCCGACAACAAAGACTGTGTAACTGGGGAGATTAAACACAGAAGAGCTGGCTTATCCTTTTAGCCAGATTTCAGTTGCTTAATTTCCACGAATCGGGCCTTTTTAATGCATCTGCCTGCGTGATTTTCTTTATTTTTTTCTGTTTTCCATACATCCTTCCAGTTTTTTTTTTTTTTAAGAAAAGGAGCTTTTAATGAGTTTTCCTTGAAAAGCTGTAACCTCTGCCTATCGCCGTGGTAATGAGACGCCGTGTCCTTTTCTTCTCCTTGTTCTCTGCTCCTTTCATCATCACAGATTCCATTGTGCCGAGTGATCCGCTTCAACATAGATTACACCATTCACTTCATAGAGGAGATGACACCGGAGGTCAGTAAGACACCATTTTATCTTGCGGCTCCTTTTTCTTCTCCTTCTTCTCTTTGTTTTTATCTCAAACGGCGGAGTCCAGCGGCTAATCCTTTCCAGGAGGAGGAGGAGGAGAAACCTCCGGGTTTGACCTACAAAAGTTGATCGGATCGATCAGTCAGATGAGCTTTCAGGTGAATGTTTGATGACATTTCTCTGGGTTTTCCTCCTTGTTCCCAGAACTACTGCGTCCGAGGTCTGGAGCTGTTCGCCTCCTACTTGTTCCGGGACATTCTGGAGCTTTACGACTGGAATCTGACGGGTACGAGACAAAAAACGATTGGCTTTAACATCGTCACAAGAAACGGTATAGAAAGGAAAACATTCCCACAGTATGATAGTACTGCCTCTACTCTGCAAAAACACAAAGTCTAGTTTCTACTGCAGATATCTTAGTACATTTGAAGTAGAACAAAACTAACTTTTCAGCACGATAGAGAAGTCTCTCATCCTCTGATGTGTTGTCCTGCCTCAATTAGAAGAGTTCAAGTATTTCGGAATCTTGTTCACCAATGCGGGAAAAACGGAGGAGATCGACGGGCGGATCGGTGCAGCAGTGAAGCAGCCGCTGCACTAGTCTGTCATGGTGAAGAGAGAGCTCAGTTAAAAAGCAAAGTTCTTGATTTTCCAGTTGATCTACGTTCATACCCTCATCTAGGGTCATGTCCAAAAGAACGAGGTCACGGATACAAGCGGCCGAAATGAGTTTTCCCTGCAGGGCGTCTGGATTCTCCCTCAGAGAGAGAAGCTCAGGCATCCAGGAGGGACTCAGAGTTAAAGTTGAAATGTTAGCTGCATAGATTCATGAAACATTTTAGGTTGAGTCACCTGACTTCAGATTTCATTTCATTCATTGGATCTCAGATTATTTGGACTTTTTGAAGCCTGTTTTCTCTGTTTTTCAGGTCCTGACTGCGACTCTGAGTCTTCTGGATGCCAGCGGTTCCATTTCATGCCTCGTTTCGTCAGATTCTTACCGGGTAGGACTCTTTAAAACCTTCACATGACTGAAATACGAAAGAAGCATCTCAGATTTCTCTGCCGTTTGTGCTGCAGTTCTGCTTGCAGCCACCGGGTGGTGCTGTTGTATTGCTACTATGGCAGCATTTGTCACAGCGGCTCCTGCCATCATGCCATCAAAAAACAATTCCTCTCGCAGCTCTCCCAATTTGAAGAAGCAGCAGACAGACACTTATCCTGCTCTCTTACAAAAGCACAGCAACGGCTAATCTAATGTTTTTGATGTGATCTGTGAGGAGGAACCAGGCTGGCTTCACATTTTTATACAGCCCAGGTGAAAAGAAATGCCCCGCTTCTCGTTTCTGCTGTGGTTCATGAATAACAAACTATTGTCTGGCTTTAAAATGAGACAGAAAGTTCTGGGTTCAAATCTCAGCTTGGATTATTTTGCATGTTCTTCTTGTGCCATTATGGGTCCAGAAACTTGACTGTTCTAACCCTAACCCATGTTCTGATAAACTGGTCCGCCTACAAACCTCAGTCTCTGTTCAGTTGAAGTGAACTCTGATGCTGTTTGAATGTGTATGTGAATGACAAGCGGACTGGATACTGCTCCAACAGCAGGAAGTGGAGCATTCTGGGTAAATGCAACCAAAAAAAGCCAAGTACTAAAAGGGGAAATTGAGAGAAATTCGATAAACCGATAAAATCTGACACCATTTCCATGTTGTTTTCTTCAGTAGTTCTTGATGCAGCGCCCCCGCAGGTGAGAAGGGGAACAGGTCTTTCCAATGATTTGGTTAGTTGAACCAAACTAATTGGTATTAATGAAAGCTAAAAGGTCAAAAGGTCAACCAGCCTTCAAAACATTTACCCAAATTTAATATCTTTAAAATAATTGCAGCACAAATGAAATGTTTGACCCAATTTGAAGAAGTCACTCGGGTATAAATAGCGCATCATATTCAGGTTTTGTACGACTCCTGCGTATGTTTTCTGATCGTAGACGGCGGGAAGGAGGTTCTGTCGATGCACCAGGTGCTGCTGTACCTCCTGCGCAGCAGCAAGGCGCTGGTTCCAGAGGAGGAGATCGCAGACATGCTGCAGTGGGAGCAGCTGGACTGGCAGAAATATGCAGAGGAGTGCAAAGGCATGATCGTCACCAACCCTGGCATGGTAAGGAGTTCTTCTTCTTCTGTCTTGAACTCTGACCCTGCAGGAAGCAGGTTGTGACATGAAGAACTTCCTCTGTTTTCCTCCACACTCAAAGCTTTTAGTCGGATGACATTCTTACCCGGCCTCCGTTTTCAGAGGACCAGCAGCAACTGTGTCCCTTTGAGGGTGAAGATGTGGAAAATATTCCCTCCCTCAGATGTTTTATTGCTTTTATTGATGCTATAAATCAACCTGAGCTACAAGATCCGGCTTTTTTGACAGAACAAAACTCTTTTAATATCAAAACAAGCTGATTTATACAGATTAGCAGTTGAATAAAAACATACAAGATATTATTTGGGTAAATATTTACACCTTTCAAGTCTCAGTAATGCTGCTCATCTGGATATTTTCAGTTTTCCGCCATTTTCTCGTTAAATATTTAAATATCGAGCTGTGAACATGGATGTAGGTGGATCCATAAATCTGATTTAGCTTCAGAAACTTTTGTTTCCTGCTCCAGTCTGAGTTCTTTTCCCAGTCCAATCCGGGTTGCTTTACAAATCCAGTCTAGATTCTTTTCCCAGTCCGGTTCGGGTCTTTTTCCCAGTCTGGTCTGGGTTCTTTTCCTGGTCCGGTCCAGGTTCTTTTGCAGCCCAGTCCGGTGCTTTGATTCCAGATGAATCAGATCATCTGAACTCTGGTTCTGCTTCCAGCAGCGGTGACCTCTGACCCTGGGATGAAACGCTTGGACGATGAGGGAGTCTGGAGGCGAGCCGGTGCCATCCGCTCCCTCTGACCCCCGAACCGGCCAACAGGCGGCTTGTGATCCGGGTTCTGGCGCCGGACGGGCTGCCTGTCATTCGCTCCATCATTCTGTGACGGATCACCTCGTGGTTCAGATTATTTATATCACATCCTGCGTCTCGCCGCTGATTGAGCGATGGCTGCCTGGTGGCTAAACACGTTGATACTGTGAAATGATTTTTCTCCTCCGTCTTTCATCCAGGAGCTCCAAATCCTTGAAATTCAGTTCGGTGTTTGATATTCAAGCTGCTCAGTTTTGTAATAAAGTGCAAACTAAAAATTGATTAAAACTTAAATCTGAAAAATGTTATTCAAAGTTGAAACCAGATATTTTCATTCACCTAATTGGGGCTTATTCTGTCAATTCATACATTTTTATCACAAATAATCAATTAATCATAAAAAAGCTGCATTTCTTCATTTACCCACTCATGTAGAAGTTGGTAACTTTGAAAGTCACTTGATAGATATCAAACTGAAGCAAACTTAATATAAATTTGGCCTGCAACTAATTATTATTTTATTAATTGATTATTCAATCAAATATTTTTGACGATTAATCATATTTAAATTGCACTTTTCCTATTTTACACACTTGGGTGGTACAAGGAGGTAAGTTTGAAAGGCTTTTGGTAGATATCAAACTAAAGCAGGGTTAGTATAAATTAATGTTGCAACTCTTTATTTTAGTCATCTATTATTTGGTAAATTGTTGGAGTGATTAATCAATTAATCATATTAAAAATTGTACTTTTTCATTTACCCACTTGGGTGGTAGAAGTAAGTAACTTTGAAACTAAATTATTTCTGCAACTAACGATTATCAGAATAAAGTTTGCTTTATGCATTCTCGGGCTGCAATTAGTGAGTATTTTAGTAATTGATTATTCAGTTGAATATTTGAACGATTAATCGATTTAGTCGTATAAAAAGTGACCCATTCGTTTATATTGTTTGTGCAGTTTTTGCTTAATTAATGATATAATTTTTACGTTAATTTGCGTTGTTTTTATCTCCAAAGTGGGAAAAGTTTGAAAACGCTCAAAAAGTTCTTGAATTTTTCTGACGGAAACACGAATGCCGTGCCCCTCCCCGCCTGTTTTTCAGAAACCGAGCTCGGTGCGCATCGACCAGCTGGACAGGGAGCAGTTCAACCCAGACGTCATCACCTTCCCCATCATCGTTCACTTCGGCATCCGGCCCGCTCAGCTCAGCTACGCCGGAGACCCCCAGTAAGATCACAGCAGAAGACACAAAACGCCGCGCAGTCGGGCACGGCGACGTTTTCGCATGCGTCGTCCCGGGTTTCTGTGGGGGCGCCGTGGATTCGCAGTGCGTCTGGTGAATAGTGACTTGACATCCGGGGGGCTCTGGGCGACAGAACTGTACTGTGTTGCTGCATAATTAACAGAAGACGAGGCGATGTGAGCGTTCTGACAACAAACACACACAACCTGTTTGCTGAGGCTAAATTTAAACTGATGCTCACAAACTTTAATTAATACCAGACCAGTTAACAGGTAAACATTAAATTCATCCACATTTCATCAGCTTAGAAATTCAAACTTTATCGTTTTTTTCTGGATGAAGAATATCAATATTTCCAGACTTTATTAACTCGGTTTCTTTATCTTCTTTTTGCTTCTTTTTGCCATTTTTTTACTCCCTTCATTTATCTTTATTTTGTTTCCTTCATGTCTTCATTGTGTCCTTTTCTTCTTTCCCTCCTTCATTCCCTCCTTTTTGCTTTCTATCCATCTTTTGTCCTTCTTGCTTACTTTAAGTTTCTTCCTTCTTTCTTTGGTGCTTTCTATCCTTTTTTCTTTTTTGCTCATTTGTTGTTTTTGATCTTTTCTTTCCTCCTTTCTTGTTTCCTTTGCTTTTCCTGCTCGCTCTAGTGAAGGACTTGACTGTTTTCACATGCATATAAATATCTAGATGTTTATCTGATTTCTACTCTGTGATTTAAACCAGAAGTATGTATGATTTACAGAAAACCTGGACTATTAATCTGGTTTTGGATGGTTAAGCTGTCCTGATGGCTGCTTATACTTTAACAGCACGGTGGTGGCTGCATCGTGCTGTAGGGATCCTCTTCTCTTGAGCATATAAAATGCAGACTGGTTGATAATTGGGAAATGAAACCTGCTGGAGGCTGAGATGGAAGATAATCAACCCTAAACATACAACCAGATGTGCAAACTGTGTTGGAATGGTCTAGTCAAAGCCCATGCTTGGATACATTTGAGAATTTGTGGGGGAAAAACGGCCCAGAAAGCTAAAAAAATTGGTTCTACTACCCATTAATCCAGAAACAAATGCACACCACACTTTTTAGATCTTGATTTCTTAAAAAATAGTGTGAAAATTGTGTATTTTTCTCCTTTCAGTTCACAATTACACCCTGATTAATGGAGGAAAGGTTATTGGAAGGAAAACCTTTGCTTGCTCTGTAGGATATAGAGACAAACAAGAGGATAATAATCTGAAAATAAATTTTCCTGATGCTGATGGATTTCGATCGCAGATAATGACGCGCGTAGCGGCAATGGTGGCGGCAATCGCAGCCGCAGACACATCAGCAGCAACATTGATTGAAGCTTCTTCTTCTTCTCCGCTCCCCGCCCAACGGACACACAAGCTATGATAAAGTCAGAGGTCAGGGGACGTACGTAGAGAAGAAATAAATCAGGATGATGGAAGAGGAGTGAAATCACTGCAGAGAATAAATTAAAAATGACAGAAAAAGGTAAACAGAAGATAAAATCTGCGGCTTCGCTTCAACCTGCTGTCTGTTTTCAACTTGCCCCTCCATTTCTTTATTTTTTGTATTTTTCTGAATCCATAAAAGCAGCACCTGACACGAGCTGAAAGTGATTCCTGTCACATTCATGCCTGCAGGAGCAGCCGAGTCTTTCCTGAACTGAAGCAGAGAAACTAATCAGCATTCTGCGCTGTGATTGGCCGCTTTATGTCCTGATGACATCTCCAGGTCTCGGTTTGGGCCTATTAAATAAAAACTGTTTACCTTGTTTTATCTTTATGTTGATATTCTGCAGTTATGTGTCAATTTAACGACATTCAGATGATTTTTACTCTGATTTATGTAAAGAAAACTGTGCAATTCACATCCTTTAAAAGCTACTGTAATCAAATTTTAATAAATGTTTAGCATTTATATTTTAATATCAAACTGAAATTTTTTTAATTTGTGGAATAAATTGAGTTTTAACAAATCAGTTTTTGATAGATTCCACTAATATAAACTAAAGCTAGCAGCAGCTAATCAAGCTAACTGCTACTTAAGCTAGCAGCCAGTAAAGCTAGCAGCTATTTGCGTCAACAACTAGTTATGCTAACAGTTAGCAGGATGGGCTTTGCCCATATTGCATGTCTTTTTTCTTCCTTCCACTAAACTTTCCATTGATATTCTTGTCTGCTGGATGATTGTAACAGACTTCCTCAGGACTGCAAAGGTCATAACATTTTTATATTTAAATTTAAACTTACTTCACTGTGCGTCATCAATTTGTTCCTATATCTAATTTAGTGAAAAAATGGCCGCTGTGCATGTTACACAGGTTGTTGCTAGGCAAACAAAAACTGAGCCGATTGCACCGGTTCTAGATCAGAGTTCAGTGAAATTATCAATTTTCCTTTAGATATACTTCCTGTTTGTTATATAGTTATTTTATTGCCTCCTTGTTGCTTGTCTTTATTTCCCTACCGTATTTTTTCGTTCCACTAAACTTTCCGTTAATGTTTGCATGTATCACTCTGTGAACAGCTCGGTATTTTAGCAAGAGCTTTTTATTGCTAAAGCTATGGAGGGTGTTGGGACTGAAATACTGTAAAGTTAACAGTCTTCCCTTTGATTATGAAGGGCATACACTGCAAAAAACTCAGATTTTACCAAATATTTTTGTCTAGAATCCAGTTCAAATATCCTGATTCTCTTAAAATAAAACAAATCTAACTTAGAAGTAACTTTTTCAGCAAGATTTTAAGTCAGTAATGTTTTAATATTGATGGAAAAAAATTGTTCCACTGGCAGATTATTTCACTTAAAACATACCATTAAGGACTTTTTTGTCAATATTAAGAAATTACTTACTTAACAAAAACGACATGATACAATTAAAGATTTGTATATTTATATAAATATCTTGTAAAGTGCACAAATGTAGCATTTATTACATATTACTAACCATTTTTAGTTTTTAGTTCATTTGAAATAAGACAAACTAATTTACAAATAACTTTTCAGATAGAAATAGGAATCAATAAAAAATATTAGCTTATTGACTATTATTTCACTTATAATATGGAAAAAATGTCTAGTAGTAATAAAATCATTTTTTAATTTAATTGATCGACTTAAAACAAGCTTCTTTTATCTTGCTGAAACAGTTTCTTTTGTTTCATATTTGCACCTAAAGCTGGACAAAAGTTATTGCTAAAATTTTGTTTTTGCACTTCTACATTTTAAAATAGTTTTTAAAATCATCTTCAAGCGATAATCATCAGAAATAACTTTTCTCAGCATGTTTAAATAATCTCTGGGCGATTCTATGGTTTTGTGAATCCGGCGGTTCGTTCCTCGCCGTGTGGAAGTTTTTAGTGACGGAGATTCAGACCAAAGTGTTGGAGAACTGGTGGTTCGCTAATGAAAGCTTCCCAGAGAGCCGCGGCGGATCCGCAGAAAGGTCAATGCGGCGGATTGGGGACCGCCCAGACTGGACCGACTCTCCTTCCCCTCATTTCTCTCTCCGTCATCGTTGTGAGCGGCGGCAGCGGCGGCGAGCTGATAATCGGGGCGGTAAAGCCGCCTTAGTCCCTCGCCTCAGCCTCTAATGAAGTCCCCACTAATAAAGCTCTGAAATTCATCCACTGCTCTCCTTCCTCATCAGTCCAACTGAAAAAACCCAAAAACTACCAAGAATTTTGTCCAGTTTCACTTGAGCTTGGCACAGAGTCGTAAACTTTGCCACATTTTTCATAATTTTATAATTTATTTGCGGGTGAAAACACTTGATAACTTTGTGTTCTTTGAGAAAAATTAACTTGAAAATCTTTATAAGGTTTATTTCCAAGACTTTCTAACTTACAAATAACCTTTCAGCAAGAAATAGGAGCTGGATTTAAGTCAATAAGTCCTTAATATTAATTTACAAAGGTGATATTTTCTCATTGTTGCATTTATAACATTTATTTCCTGATCAATGGAGAAAAAAAATCTGCCATTGAAACAATATTTTTTTCCTGTTAGGTTAAAAAGTAACTATTTGTTATTGAATTGTCTTTTTATGATACAAAACACTTTGAACTGCCTTGTTGCACTGCAAAAACACAAAATCTTACCAAGTAATTTTGGTCCAACTTAGTGCAAATATCTGCAAATAAAACATTTGAACTTGTTTTTATGTAAATAACTTGGATAAAACATGAGAAATTTCTAAAAAGTTACTTTTAAATTAGTTTGGTGTAATTAGTGCACTAATATATTTGCACTAGAAACTAAACCAAAAATACCTTTTTGTGTTTTTGCTTTGTAAGTACATAGTATTCACATTGCACTGCAAAAACACATTTTAAAAAGTAATCTTAATCTAGTTTCTTGTACATTTGAAATGAGATAAAACTAACTTACAAGTAACTTTTCAGCTTGTTTTTAGTAAATAATTTCTTAATATTGATGAAAAGTTGGAGTTCCATTGGCAGAAAAATTTATTTATTAGACATTTTTATCATGTGAAATAATGTCGATGATACTAGTTTTCTGTCATTAATTGACTTAAAATAAGCTCCTGTATTTCACTGAATAGTTACTTTAAGTTAGTTTTGTCTCATTCCAAGCAGACTAAGATATTTGCACCAGAAACTAGGTAACGTTTTGTGTTTTTGCAGTGCTCTCTGTCCTCGGTAATCATAAGTGAATAATGGCGTCTAAACGAGGAGAAAGTCCAGTGAATGGGAGCAGAACGGCCGCAGTCGGCCCCTCGGTGCATCAATCAGGGTTCTGATTGAAAAGAGAGTGGATGGAGGGATCGGGGAGTTCATGTCACCTTGCCGATAACGTCCGTCCTCCTTTCACATGCAAATCACAGCAAAGACGATGACATTTTATAGAGAAATGAGGCTTGAAACGAGCGTTTGAGACACTTTCTTTTTATCCGCTTGAACGATAAAACGGAAACAATCGACTCGAACTTCGGAGCTCAACAGCAGCTGATAGCGGCATGCAACTGTGTTGGAAATAAGGCAAAAATAAACATGAAGGATGATTTAAAAAATAGTTTTCTGATTGCAGGTACCAGAAGCTGTGGAAGAGTTATGTGAAACTGCGCCACCTGCTGGCAAACAGCCCAAAGGTCAAGCAGATCGACAAGCAGAAGCTGACACAGAGAGAGGTGGGTGGAAAGAAAACTGACAAATTTTATCTTCCTGGAACAGTTTTTATTAAGATAAAATAATTATTAATTTTTTTAAACTCATCCTTTGAGTTATGACGCATTTTGTCACTAAATGGGTTTCAAATGCATTCATTTCCACTGAACAGTCATAATATTCCTACCAAGTGTTAAAAACCTTAATCTACCAGGGGAACTAGTCCTTTTTTTAATCAAGAACTGTTGACCTCCTGTGTTGCTGAAAAGTTACTTTTTAAGTTAGTTTTGTCTTGTTTCAAAATATTTGCACTAAAAACTTGACAATATTTTAGTTCAAAGCAAAATACAGCAGCAAATTGTTACATTTTAATTTATAATAAAAGAAAAAAATCTGGTGGATTATTTCACTTTTAGAGAAATATATTATGTGCTTCAATCTGCCAGTGGAACTAAGACTTTTTCATCAAAATTAAAGAGTTTTTGGCTTCACACAGGCTTTAATTTCTTGCTAAAAAGTTATTCTTAAGTTAGTTTTGTCTTATTTCAACTAGAGGTAAAAAACTAGACAAAATGTCTTGGTAAAATAAAACCATTGACTGAACAAGCTTTCACTTTCTTACTGGATTTTAAAATTTTCACCCAACATTTCTATATTATTTTCTGTATTTTTTTCACTCGAAAGGTTTAAAATCTTTCCCTGTTTACTTTCTGTTCTGCTAAAACCCGACTCCCTGTTCTGCAGAAGTTGTGCGGCTCCATCTGTGCGGCCATTGTTTTAAGTCAGGCATGAAAAATGTGGAGCCCCCTTTTTTTTTGCTGCATAATTGAGATGAATTTGGAGCTGTGAATAAAGCGGCGGTAACTGCCCTCCTGAGCCGGGCGTGAAGGTCAGCCCGCTGCCGGGGGAGCGCGGGCGGAAAAGGTTTGGATTTGGTGAAGTAATGACCATGCAGCTGCAGGGAATCCCTCGGCTGCAGCGCTACGCGTGTGGCCCCCGGAACCGGCTCCTTCCTGCAGATCCGGGATCCTCCTCCGCATCGTTTGATTCACTCTCAACCAATAACGGCAACTCTGAGCTCAATTAGTTTGTTTCCCAGGTAGCGCCGCAAAGCTCTCCCAGCTAACAGGCCCTGACAATCCCACTGTCAACCCGCGCCGGAGCAATTAGTGAAGCCAAACACATGCACACTCACACCGCGGGTCCGTCAGGCTCCACCAGGAGCATTAGCCGTGTCAGCGGCGCTGCGGCTTTGCTGCTTACTTAATGCCTCGGGGAGCACTGCGAGACTAAAGCCTCTGATGGGCATCAGGACACAACCTGTCCGAGGTTTTCACACCAGCTGTGTGACGAGAACCGGCCCTCACACCAAAGCTGCAAACTACCTCCCTCTCATATCGTTAAAGGCGGCTTGTTCTGCTTCGTTGAGCAGGTTAGGGTGGGTTTATGGGCGATACGAAACATGTTTGTTACGTTTTCTGCACAAAATCCTCCTTTGATATTGAGATTTTAGGGCTGGTTTAGGGCTTCTGGTCACTTTAAATCCATATAAGCTGCAATCCAACGTGAAAATGGCTGCAACAGATGCACAGTGTAGAACTGTACATCTTTGAAAAGCAGAAGTGAAGCCTGCTGCACAACCAACAAGATTGCATGCAGCAAGTGGTTTCTCAGCTTCCTGGAAATTCATTTCAGTTACTGTCAGCAGGTCACAAAAAAGCTTGCTTTTATTTCTTCAGCTAATCTATGAAAATACCAAATATGACAGTTTAATTTGATTTATTACTAGAAAGTTTAGATACTGTTTAATGCAAAAAAACGCAAATTATTCTATGCTCAATCCTTATTTTCTAAGAAACTTACACTTCAGATGGCGTCTTATTAATAAAATAGTTTGTAATTACAAAGAAAATCTGTTTTATTTTAAATAAAAAAACACACTTTCATCCAAGAAATGTGGAGCTAAAAAGATCAAATTATGAAATTCACCAATCATTTTCTTCAAACATTGAACAATAGAGATGTTATAATGTCTTAACTCAAAACCTCTGTGGTAGATTAAGTCCCATTTCCAGTTAATCTGGGGCGTTTTGACGCAGAAAAGTCAAAACCCTCGACGGAAAGTGGGGACAACATGCAACAGATGTGCGCTCTCCTTTTGTCAGCCATTGATTTTCAGGAAGCATTTGGTGTTTGACCTCAGCCTGATCCAAAATATAAACAGTCCTCTCAGCAGAAGGAGATGACGGCAAAAGTCAAATGTGCCGTGACTTTGACCAGCAGAAACAGAGCGCCTGTACCTCCCTGGTTAATTATTTACTTTTCTTGTTTCCCTCAGTTCTCTGACCTCGCTGCAGCCCCTGCATAATAAACTGTTTACATACGATTCACGCTTCTTTGTGATGACTGCTTTCCATATACAGTGGCTGGCTGGCTGTCCACAGGAGGGTTTGCCGTGTGTGGTGGTGCATGCGCGTGGGCGAGCGAGTTTCTTTTTGATGCACAGTTCAAAGTGGGAAGGCATTATTTATTCATGCCTTTGTTGTTCTTATTTCCTCGGCGAGTCAAAAATTCCTGGCATTCCATTTTAGGCAGATCACGGCTAACGCAGAGCGAGTCGATGCCGTCTCTGCTGAATGAAACACACGCGTGAGCACACACATTAAGGAGGCGCAGTCTGTCAATACGGCCTCCATCTTGGTTATGTTATATCCAGGACTGCCTCATATCTGACTCAGACATTCTGGTCAGTCTCCTGATGTTAAGGTTGGATCCGTGTCCAACCAGCTTTGTGAGATCCTGTTTCAGTTCCAGATGAAACATAAGAGAAACAAGTAGATTTAGGGGAGGGAGAAAGATTGCTTTGATTCTTATTTTGATGAAAATAAGAACTTCTTTCACGCTGCAAAAATACACAATCCTACCAAGAATTTGTGTCTAGTTTCTAGTGTCAACAGTTAGCCTTTTCATTGTAATGGTTGTATGTTAACATTTAGCATTAGCCTAGTAACATTTTGACGTTAGTTTTAGCCTGTCAACATTAGCATTAGCTTGCTATTGTAATATGTTGACATTTTGGTTAGTATCTATGCTGTAAAATTAGAACATAATTCTAATAAAACTGTTTGGATGTTATAAATCTACTCAAACTGTTCTGTAATGCAGAGCAACAGTTTGTGCTCTTGCTAAAACTGTGTCGGTGAAGAGTCGATGGCAGACGTGTTACATCATAATTAAACCTCAACGTTCTGCCATGTTTGTATCTCGTACCATGTGAGGTTGCAGTATGTTGCATGTGGCAGTCTGTCATGGAAACTGAGGTAAAACAAGCATGGCGACAGGAGTGTGTTTGTGTGGACGGGGAGCCGTCTCCGGAGGCCGTGTTCAAGCCGATCAATAATTGACTGGCCTGGTTGTTTGGCAGGAAGCTCTTCAGAAGATCCGGCAGAAGAACACGATGCGCCGTGAGGTGACTGTGGAGCTCAGCAGCCAGGGCTTCTGGAAAACCGGCATCCGCTCCGACGTCTGCCAGGTAACATCCAGCAGCAACGCTGTCAAACTCCGCAACATGTAACGCATTAAAGCTCGTATCTCTGAGGGTTTCACCTTTTTAAATAAATGATAAGCAATCAAAGCAGACACCTTTTTAAATCATCCTTTAATCAAAACATAGACGTAGATCCTATGATGATGTCAAAGAATAAAGGCCTCAAAGCTCTGAAGTTGTAACTGGAGTTTGAATTGAGTTTCTGTTCTTAGAATAGTAAAAATCATAAATCGAATAAAACAGAAATTCAGTGACACATGAAGGCGTTTTGGGACTAATGAACTATTTCAGTTTCTGTTTTCCTTCAGATAGGAGTCATTTTTAGTTTCCTACTTGTTGGCTTGTTAAATATATCCTTTGTTTTTTTAAATTAACTCGCTATTGATTATTGAACGTAAAAAACTAAAGGTCTGGTGGATGTTGATGAGTCTTTTTTTTTTGTCTTTTTAGCCACTTTGAAAGGTGTTTATACCCCTTTTGTTTCACATTGCAGCCATGATTTATTGTATCTTATTGAGCTTTATAATTTATAGTTCCAAATTTTATAAAATTTATACTATCGTTGTTGCGTAACACGTACAATCAAACTGGAATTACAGCTTCAATTCTTTCGACAGTTTGTCTCTAAATCATAGTTTACATGTAGATTTTTAAAAATCGCTTGTTTTTCTTTCCAAAAGATCTCAAGCAGCTTGAACTATATTGAACTATGAGCCATTTTAACATTTTAAAATGATTTGATTGAGAAAAACCCTTAAGATTTTTAATTTTGACAAAGTTTTCCCACTGTGGTCACAACATGACACCATCGTGTTACACAACAGGACAAGTCAAGTTTATTTGTATCAATTATGTTTCTATGGCGTAAAGCTGCAGGTGGTTTACCTCATAAACACTTAATACTGGAACCAATAATGAAAGGAAATAAACATCATATATGTTGGTCAATGTTCCAGTTGTTACTAATCTAAAGGTGGTTAGGTGGTTTTTAGCCTTGAAGGAACTCAGTGTTTTGGCTGTTTTCTGGAAGTTTGACTTCTTAAAGCTTTCTTTGTTTGCTGAAATGAAACTGAAGGGAGTTTAATAAAAATGCAGGTTACATGGAGGAACATGGTGGTGGCAGCATCATGTCGTAGGGAAAAACTTGGAAGCCACTTTCTGTCTCAATCATAGTTGGGGAGAAACTAATTACATTTTTTAAATTTACATTTACTTTTTTAAAGTACTTTTATGTGTTTTTTACGTTGAACTTTTTACTTTTACTTGACTCGTATCATGAAGTATTATCTTCTCTTACTTGATTCAATTTCTGGATTTTCTCCCCACTGAATGAAAAAGAACCAAACATTCACCAGACACAGACACACACCTGCAGTTTCTGTTACTTTTTTATTGAAAGAAACTGATTTGGAAAAATGATCTTTTCTCTGATGCTTTTTATTCCCAATCCCAAAATTTCCACTTAACTTTACATTTTGGTTTGTTTATGTAATTTGTAAATATTAAATGATTAATAATTTGATCTGTTACTCAAGTAATTTATTGGACAGCGACTTTCTACTTTTATTTGAGTAAACATTTGCAAAAGTATCACTACGCTTACATACAATTTTTTGATACTTTTTCCGCCTCTGGACCCAATAAAGTTAGTCGATGAAATATTTGAATATTATTTGTGTCACATCCAGAAATCAGAGACTTCCAACTTTTGTTTTGTGTGATTTTGTCCGTTTTGCATGAATGCAGCTTTGATCCGTTTTCTAATTTCACCTGCTGACGTACAGAGTTGCCGATCTGTCTCTGCTAATAAAAAGGTAACTGATGGGAATGAAAGCTGAATTTCAAAGCGAAACAGAAAAAAGGAGAAGCTCTGCGATGCGACGTTGCTTCCCGAACATCCTCATGTCTGTGGCTCCACTCAGGCAGACGCTGTCAGAAACTTTGCCTGTGATCTCTCCTCTATCGCCGCGCTGCGTCTCCGTTCGAGTGTCAGAGTCTGTATGAGCAAAGTGGACCCCCGCAGAGCTGCAGCACTTACACCGTTCATCACGCAACGACTCCAACCTGACAGTTTATTTACATGCAGCTGCGCCGCCGCGCGACGTTTTCAGAATCGAAACGGGGCGGGAATTTATTTTTATCTGCGTCTTTATCTTTATTTCAGGGGAATATTTAGTTCTTTTACGTATATGTGCCGGTAATTTAGCAGATCTAATGAGGACTGAACTCCACAGCTGCATGTTTTGTTGAGTTCAAACTGGTGCTTAAAATCCTTGAAAATCCTTGAATTTCAACTGGATGATTTCTGTATAAAGTCCTGGGAAGTGCTTGATGTTTTATCTGCGCAGTTTTGTAATAAAGTGCAAAAAAATTGTTATCATATGGTAGTGAATTGAAAGAATTTTTTTTTACTTCATGTGTGTTGTTTTGTCTCCAAAGTGAAAACTTTGTTTGAGTTATCGTCCGCTCTGCTAACTCTGGCCTCAGGCGATTACCGGCAGTGGCTCTGCTCTCCGTCTCCGCCCCGGTTACGTCAGCGTCCGCGCCTCCGTCGGCCCGCGGCTGATCCTCCCGCTCACGTTCGGCGAGGAATGACAGAAAGTTGTAGCCTCACGAGTCAGACCCCGCTCCCCGCGAGGTCTGCCAGGGAAGAATCCGATCCATAATTGCTGTCCAATTATATTTGCTTCAAGCTGTACCGCCACGACTAATTGCTTCATGAATAATTTCAGTTGGAACCGCGGCGCTGCACTCCGAGCACTGCGTGACAGGGACGAGCGATGGCCGCTAAAAGTGACCCCTAATTTCTTCATTTTGAAAGCTGTCGGGTCTTTACAGGAGCCGCTCTCGACTACTGCAAGGTTTTTTATTTATTTAGTTTTCTTTTTTAGTGCTAAAAGGGTTTATTTTGATTTACTTTAGTAATCTTTGTTTTTTTTATTATTCATCTCCACGTATTTTTCCAGCCTTTATCACATCAGTGTCCAAAACACATTTTAGAACCAGGCCTTTTATCTCCTCTCCGGCAGCAGTGAATAGGCTGCTTGGCAGGGAATGGTCTTCTTATTCATGTTAAATAAACAAACTTACTGACTTCAGAAAAGGAAACAGAGCATGACCATGAAAAGAGTGAAATTATTAGAGAAAAATTCTGTTATCCTCCAAAGAAACTTCTAATTAATTCTGAAACTTCAAACTATAAATGTTTTTGTAGTTTTACTTTTATTTATAATAGTTTAGGAGAAATCAGGAGAAAAGGATTAGATGCACATGTTTTGTCTCATGTAGAGATGCACAAAGGACCAATATCCTGTTCATTTATATTTAGATAAACTCTTTTATGATTGCATTTAAAAATAAAAGGATTAAAATTATATTAATATGTATATAAAAAACATTTAAATTTAATGGTGGGACCCAATTAAAAATTTTATTGAGTTAATTGGACAGTCTGTATTTATTTATCTCAATTACGCCTGGGTGGATTTAGCTCCGCCTTCTAGGCGCAGCTCCTCCCCCACTTGGCTCCTTCAGACTAGCCAGCAGCAATTAGCGATCACCTTCTGAGCTCATTTTAGAAGCTACTTCTCAGAGCAACACTTGCTGGTAAAAATGTTAAAGGGTTAATAAATGACTTCCTGAAGGCAGAGCTTTTGAAAGAGAGAGGCTCAATTTCAAGGATTTAAACAAGTTATATTTGATATATATAGCATTTTTTCTATTTTATTATAAGTAAATTATTTAATGAAAATGTATTGTTATGAAATTAACATTAAAATATTTGCTTTATTATGTTTTAAAACGGCACTATGTGCCTTGAAAACACAATAATTTCCCTTTAAAGGATCCAATTTATGCTTTTCGTGTCTAAGCTGCATAAAAACTGTTGCTGGTCTGATGGGTGAAGGTAAATCAGATCTTTTCCCACCTTTTTAATTATCAGAGTGTCAGTTTTAACAAGCCTTCACTACACACACACTCACACTCACACACACGCTTTGTCCTCAGTCAGTCATCAGAACAGGTCAGGAGCCGCGCACACGACCGGGGCCCTGACTTTGTTTAATTGGCTGCTTAACAAGGCCTGGGGACCGTGTCGGTGTGGCCCCTGTAATGGCCCCGGGGCCGCGTGGCATCGCCGCTCGCCCACCCCTCCCTGCAGCAGCTCTAATTAAAACAGGCGGCGCTCCCTCGCCTCCTGCGCGGTGGCGCCGGGGTTAATGTGTGTACACTCGATGAGCCTCCCCGGTAATGACTCCATAAGATCTCGCCCCAACGCTCCTCTTCCTCTCCTCCTCGGCTACTTTTCCCTCCACTTTGTTGAAACTTTTTGCTTTCATATGAGGGTCAGGAAGGGCTGTCAGTGTTTGCTCAAAGCTGAGCGTGTCAGGCTGTCGGCGAGAGCTTCGATTCCACCGCTGTCCTGTCCAAATGTGAATTTCCCTTCCTGTCCTCTTGTCATTCCTTCTCACACTCCAGCAATTGGCTTTTTGATTATTTCATCTCTCTGTTGCAGAGCCCCTCTTAATAAATAATGGCCGGCTGATTGATTTCTCCTCTCGCTCGCTCTCTTCACTCTCCTTTCATATGAGACATGATCTCACCTGGGTGTTTTTCTCCTCCGTTTCTGTCGTCCCGCAGCACGCCATGATGCTCCCGGTTCTCACCCATCACATCCGATACCACCAGTGCCTGATGCACCTGGACAAGCTAATCGGCTACGTCTTCAAGGACCGCTGCCTCCTGCAGGTGAGGCGCAACTCTGTCAGTCACTGCTGCATTATTTAAGGGTCTCCTATAATTAGGGATGTACCGATATGAACATTTTGACCAAAATTTATTTTCTCTACCTTTTTGACATCTTAGGAAATAAAAACAACCAGAAACAATGTGGAAATAAATCAGTGTTTGATTTCAGTTTTATTTATCAGGCTGATACCAATATGTTCAAAAAGTTACTAATATTGACCAATATCACTGTTCTCATATGAGGCATCTCCACCTATTATGCTTCCTTGAACTTATTAGGATAGCATTATGGGCTAAAAAAAAAATGCTTATTACATTTTTCAGTCTGGTCAGTTCCTTACAGATGAGCTGTTTTAGGGTCTCTGTCACTTTAAATCCAAGTAAGCTGCTGGAGGCCACGCCTCTCAATTTAATGTTTACATTCACACATTAAAATGGCTGCAAACAGATGAGCAATTATGCAAACATACTTCTTTGAAAAGCAGAAGTGGCGCCTCCTACACAGCCAACAAGAATGCAGTAACTTGTCTTTTTCCAGCAGCCATTGCACAGAGCCTTCAGCAGTTAAACCAGCTGACCAAATGAGCTGGAACTCAGCTGAGTTTGTTTGTTGAATCACATTGCGCTGTTACTAATCTGGAGGTTTTTGAAACGGCTCATTTTCTAGACACCAACACTCATTAACTAGTTGCCAACAATTGTCAGGGTGCTGTTGTTTATTTATTAATTTTTAAACACATGGGTTGGTTTTAGCATCAATTGAGACTAAAATGGAAGTGCAAAAATGTTCATAAAGCGGTAAAACTAGCTGACCAAATGTGCTGGAATTCTGTTGGGGTTGCTAAGTAACGGGCGGAACTCTGCTGGGGTTGCTAGGTAACAGGCGGACTTGCTGGGGTTGCTAGGTGACGAGAAAATGCCTTCTGATTTGTGCTTCTACCATCTGAAGGTTTTTGGAACGGCTCATTTTTCAGACACCAATAAACATGAACTTCCTGCCAAAAAGCTGCTAGTTTTTTAATGTAAAGCCTTTGGAAACAGGAACCTGCACAAGTGGAAGCATAAAAACGTGCGATTTTTGCATAAAAGATCCTCTTTAAAGTAGTGCGTGCAACTTTTGGCGTACTCTACCCACCTCTGCTGATCACTAACGTGATAAATAAGGCCTTTTGGGAGGAAAAATCCAGAAACCAGGCTTGTGCTGGAGCTTGTTATGAGGAGTTCCCTCATTACTGCAGCTTCTGCTGGGATTGTCGAGGAGGAAACGGGGTTTCAGGAGTCAGCTGGGCGAACACACACCGACACCGACTCACTGTGACTGGCCTGAGTTTGTTTCCCGGCTCCCTGACTAGCAGTGACAGTAGTCAGGAGGACAACAACAAGCCCTCCTCCATAATGTCAGCTCTCCCCTGGCAGGTGTGTGTACACACACACCAGCCCGGCTCACCTCTCCCCGGCTGCCTGCAGCAGTATTGAAGAGCTGTCATAAGCTGATACATTAGAAATCAATGTGTTGTAGGCTGTACATAGTTAAAGAGGGGGAAGGATGCAATAGGACTCGCTCCGGGCTCGCTACTTCTCCGGCCGCATCGATCAGCGATCGGCTTCTTTGTCGTTGGCATAACGACGACCTGTCTCATTCGAGTGCTGGAAAGGAAACAGCGTCGTCCTCTTTTATAAATGAGTCCCGCCTCCCTCGGTTCTCATTCAGCCAAACAGAAACTAAGACGCGATCATTTGGACACAGCAGCTCACGTTGCGACCTGTGTGCGATGTGAGCTGCCACTTTCTATCACAATGATATCCACAGAGGTGTTAATACCGGCTCACTGGTGTTTGTTTTGTTTGTGTGTGTTGGCTTGTCAGAAATTCACCTGAAGCTGCGGCTGAAATGACCCGAATAGAGAACCATCATCAACACACACACTGCTGCACACCCGAGGAGCCAGCCTGCTCAGATCACTGTTATTATTATTATTATTACAATAAACTCTCATTTAATTATCATTCTAAAACCGGTATCACCTGTTAAATTATTATAAAATATGATAAAAAATTCAATTTATTGTATTAATTATGCAAAATATATGAAAATACTATTAGATATAAAAATAAAATTATTTAAAAAATTTTATATTTTCAATAATTTCTAATAATCAAATTACTGTTATAAACATAATGCAAAAATATTCTTAAAAATGAAATGTTTTGAAAAAATATTAACAATAATAATAATAATATTAATATCATGTAATAGTTAATATGTTAATAAATACAAAATAAAATAAAAACAATAATTTTTATTAGTATTAATAATAGTTTTATTCATAATATTAGTATAATATGATTGTTTTTTCCTTTTTAAAAAAATAGCATTAAATTATGAAATTCTAAGAACTAAATATACTAAAAAACGGCATTAAAAATTTACCAAAATAATATGAAAAAATGGATAATGTAATGACATAATTTACTGCTTTTGGGAGGTAAAAAATACATTTCACATCATTTCAAACGGCTAATAAACAGATTCATAAACACAAAAACGAAGGACATTATGTCTACACTTAGTTTGTTTTTATTAATGCAGCATATTGTTCTAGTTTCTCCATCAATTACAGTTTTTGGTTTTTCCAAAAACAAAAATGTTTTTATTTTGTTAGTTTTAGCTAACTGTGTTAGCCTTGTGCTTTTAGCTCCATGCTTCTGTTGGCTTGGATGAGGCCAGGCTGGTTCATTATGAACCAGAATGAGCTGCCAACTTTGCAACTCTGCAGTGTGAAACAGGAACCTGCACACGTCTTGTCCTTGGAGAGAAACCTTTTGGTCTGGCTCGGTCCGGTCGCTCTTCATGTCCACGTAAACACAGAGCTGGGTCCTCCGGGTCCGCTGGGTTCTGAGGGAATGTTCTCCCAGGGTGATCTGCTCATGAAAGGCGGTAGAGAGGCTTCACTGCTGCAGGCCTCAGTTCCAGGGATGAATAAAGGGAAGGGGTCACAAGGTCACCAGAGAAGCGGTTGGGGAAAGAGATGTTGTCTTTTTCCCAGTGGAAAAGAAAGGGAAAAGAAGAAATGTGGATTTGTTTCCCAGGAGATTGAGGTGTGAGGAAGTGGTTTCTCAATAAAGAACCAGATATTTATCAAGCACAAATGATTTTTATGCAATGGAAACAAACCTGTCGTCTGGATGGATTCAGACGGAGCGGTGGCGGCGCTCGCTCCCAAACGAGTCAGGTTTCACATCCTCCGTCACTTCTCATTTAGCTCCACTCTGAGGGGCCGACCGCCTTTAATGAGATGGATGTTTTTCACTGACAGTCTACTCATTAAACACGAGGGAATCTAGTACCACTCTTTGATTGCATTACAAATGAATTGTGGTTTGATACGAGGGCTTGTGTGCTTGGAATTAATCTGCCTCCAATGGGCTGTAATGTGCGGGTGGAAACCTTTCAACTGCTGAATTCCTCCTGAAAACCCTGAAAAGGTATGAAAGTATTACCTTAAATTCTCCTTTTCAGTCACCAGAAGCCCGACGAGTTGCTGTGCTGAGAAACGGATAAATCTCACCGCTTCTTCTTAAGGGAAGCCATGATTGTGTAATGGAAATGCAGTAGAACAAACTGATGTTTGAAGGTTTTTGTTGAATATATCTTCATTCTGAAAATATCCAGTTCTACCCTGTCGTATTGACACATAAATGTGCCAAACAAATACAGGGTGTATTGTGAAAATTAAGGGTTAATTGCAGCTTCAGGGAAGAAAAAAAGCAGGGAAAGTCCAAATCCAGCCACATGAAGCACCCATCCAGCCCAAACCCCACAGACAGACATCTGCATTAAACATATTTCATTTCCAAATATACACACAATCTTAATTTAAAAATTCTCAATATAAAGAATCTTTCTTGACCAAAAACTCTTTTTACATCCACAAGAGTCCAGATAATGTAATCCAATAAAATATCTGGTCCACAACAAGAGTTACATCAACAACCAGCATAATTTAACAGTGGAAACCTTTGAAATGTTCAAGTTTTTCTCAACAGTTTCTGAGATCTGGCTCAATTTCTTTTTTCTAGAGAAATTTTAACTTTTCAAACTCTGAAATTTTCTTCTTTTTTTTCTAGTAAATATTTGAGATTTAGTTCAAAAAATTTGACGTCTTTTCTAGAAAAAAAACTTTTCAAACTAAAAAATGTCCTTGTTTTTTTTCTAAAAAAATTCAGAGTTCTCAAAATTTGGAAATTTTCTGGCAAATTTCCAAATTTCAATCTCAGACATTTAAATTTTTCTGTCAAATTTAAGTCTTTAATCTCAAAATTTGAGTTTTTGGTGAAATTTAACTTTTTTATTTGTTCTCTGTGTTGCTTTTATCTACAATGGTCCTGATGCAGCGTTGCCGTTCCCCCATTGAAAAAAAAGTTTTCACTCTTCCTGTCCGTGGAAATGAAAGATCACGGGGGGAAAACCCGTCAGCTGGGTGGGTCGGTCCAATCCATGTTCTCTGCAGATTCTCTATAATGCTGAATAAAAGCTTACCTGTACATTAAGGAGCTGTTATGTAATCACTACAACTCACCGGCTGTCTGTGAGCTCATTTACCTCTTCGGGAATCAATACACCTGATGAAGAAGAGAATAACCCAACGATCCTGCAGTGAAATTGCAGCCTGGCAGAGTTGGAGCACTCGAAGATTCCCTCCCCCCGGCTGCAGAGCAGCAACACCTCTTTGAAGCTCCTCTTCTGAGAGCCTCCCTGTTAAACATTTAACATTTAAAGCCGGGGAGGGCTGTGGGCTTCTGGAGCTGGAGAGGCACGCATTCATCCCCGAATCCCTCACATCCACCCAACCATCATAATCCCACCCAACCCCTGTTGCTCGACTGCCATTCTTCACTTTTGACCCATGCTGACAGAACGAGAGGCATCGCAGAGGTCCTCAATTATTTACGTGTACAAGTCCTCGGCCTGCGCTCTGATGCTGCGTGCTTTTGTTTGT